TCTCTTCTACAACTGCATAGGACTCCACTGTGGATAAATCACAATTTATTTCAGCAAGCCCCTATTCCTACACATTTGCATTGTTTCTAGTCCTTTAGTACTGTGAAAAGTGCTATAAAAACATGTTTATATATATGTATTTACAAATTTTTTTCCAGTATATTCCTGGGATAGATCTCCATAAATGAGATTGTTGGATTAAAGGGTAAATGCACATATAATTATGCCAGAAATTGCCAAATTTCCTTTTATAAGTCTTAAAAATGTACTATTTTTCAAAACCAGAGAGTCCTTATATTTATTGAAAAAATATTATCAATATAGTTTATGAAATGGATTTATAAAAAAGGTGAAACTAATTTGGTGAGCTACTACTCTTTGTGTAGTGTAGAACTAATTATACTTTAAAACATTTAAATAGCTTTTTAGGCTTTTAAGGAAGGAAAATCATTTGCACAATATGCATCAAAATGTACCATAGCTTCCTAGGAAATTTTGCTCTTCACCCATACTTAAGCTTATGCAAAATGACATTAAGATGCAACATTAATATACCTGTAACTTATTTTATCTGAGGTAAATTATTCTTATTTGTATCTAGATTTTAAAAACAATATTCAAAGAATCCCATAAGAGTATTAAGACAAAATAATTTGGTTAAAACAATTACTTATGGATACTCGATTGAGCTAAAATAGATATGATTTCTAAATGATCAAGTTTTATGATTCAAAGACTTTATTTTTAACAACTCTCTTGGCTTTATATTATTTACTTTCACCATAGAAAGAGCATTAGTAAAGTACAAAAGAAAACTAATTTCAGAATCAAAGCGGTTTCAAGAGAAGTCCTTACTGTCTGAGTGACCTCAATAAGTTATTTGTTCCACTGATCAATCCCTCTATCATAATGAAGGTTAAGATTTTAAATGAAGCAAGATCAGGACATACTCTTTATGCTACAAAGTGCCATTATAAACATAAAACAGTACGTTCATTGCACTTTTTCTAGGCAAGACATTGTGTCAGACACGCAAAGGACCTGAAGTCAGGCACACACATATCTATACCTTTAAGGATCTTCAACTAGTAAGAGTAAGATAAAGGACACAAATAACTATTCTACAAAGTGAGATATGTATTAGTAGTTCCACCACAAGAGAGGTAGGAAAGCAGTATATAAACACAAAGCAGAGTCATCTACTTGTAGACGATCTACAAAGTTTCCAATTGGACATATGTTAAAGGAGAAGGACCTGACAAGGACTCACAGGAAGAGAGAAGGCATATCCTTTCAAGTAGCAACATTAGCAACATCAGAAGAACCTCGGGACATACACATTTATGAATATCACTGTGAACAAAGGGCATCCCTTGTCTTGAAGTTCTGCTTTGCATTTATATAATTTTACATTTTCAAAAAGCACGGTCACAAAAACTAGTTTTCTATAATCCTGCTTTCATAATAAGGGGGAAAAATAGCAAATGAGAAAAAGTGACCACATGTTTCTATATTATATCCAGGGGATTATCCACATTAGCCCACTTGCTGAAACAGTATGATACAATAATCAATGATATGCAGGATGGTGATCCCAAGGAATTATAACAGATGAATCATTAAAGATATATGGTACTTCCGAGGCAGAAAAGTGAACAAAATAGAATAAAGAAAGTTTTTTAACAAAGGATAGAATTGATCAAAAAGTTAATTAGAACATGATTTTCTGTTGCTCTTATAACAAGAATATATATTCAAATTTCTATTTTCTTTATAATCTGTTATTCCTAAAAGATACTCTAATATACATTTCTTACTATATTTAATTTTTATACTCTAGTTGAGCTTATTTTTACTTTAGAAATCTATGTACTTCATTTAGCAACCTACCCACAAATCCTTCACTAATTAACCAATCCCCTAATGCCTAAAAATACACAACTTCAAAAAGCACTGCTCCTAATTAGATCAAAATGAATAAGCTCTGAAACATAAAATTTGTATCCAAATAATCACATATACCTATTTAGTTACTTAAAGTTATTTTCATATTTTATAATTAGCAATAAAATGGCAAATATCAACAGAGCAATGATATGGTTTCTTAAAACAAAATGATTAGCTCATATAGGGAACCATTAAAAAGGCAATTTTAAGTTAATTTTAAGAAAAAGAATAGCATTACTGCTCCAAAATAATGCAGTGGTTGTTATTAAATAAATATGCTACTTGTATGCAGTTTCAAGTTGACAAACGTATATATGTCAAGCAGATAAATATATAACAAATTGATAAAGATATATCAAATTGATAGATACTCTCCTTTTAATCACTAATTGATACAGTAGAGCCTGAGGTATTTCAAGTTTTTCCTATAGTTTCTGGAAGTCCATTTTTGTTTTTTTTGAGACAGAGTCTCACTTTGTTGCCCAGGCTAGAGTAAGTGCCGTGGCGAAGCCTAGCTCACAGCAACCTCAAACTCCTGGGCTCAAGCAATCCTGCTGCCTCAGCCTCCCCAGTAGCTGGGACTACAGGCATGTACTACCATGCCTGGCTAATTTTTTCTCTATATATTAGTTGGCCAATTAATTTCTTTCTATTTATAGTAGAGACGGGGTCTCACTCTTGGTTGGTTTGGAACCGGTTGGTTTGGAACTCCTGAACTCGAACAATCCACCCACCTCGGCCTTCCAGAGAGCTAGGATTACAGGCGTGAGCCACGGCGCCCGGCCTGGAAGTCCATTTTTAAATCAAAGAATATATGTTGGGGACTCATAATTAACTGGAAGTATGACACATTGTACTAATCAAGACTACAATAGCTAAAAGGAACTCTCAGGAACATGTAGCTCCTAGCTTAGCTTTTTAGAAGAAGAGAAAGAATGGGTTATCAAGCTTATGGTAAATATTTAAGCATCTGCCTCCAATCAGACTTAAAAATTTTGTGATTCAAAATTCCCAGAAGTATTTTAGGTATAGCAAGAGCCAAAATTGGCTAAGGAAGAGTGTTCCTTTCTACTACACACAATTCTTTGCTATATTTAAATTTCTTATTAACTTTAGGAAGTTTAAAACAAGCAGAATAAAGTCATGTAAGTAAATGTAATAAATTACATAAGGGCTTTTAAAAATAAATACAAAAGTGCATATCATAACGTCAAGAAAAACTGTCAAATTAAGAAGAAAAGATTTCCAGTAGGGTAAATCCAAGGGAATGCAAAGATAGTTTACTATTAAGAAATTTACCGGTATGTCACATAAACAGGTAAAAGCCCCAAGATCAAGATAATCTTAATAATAACGGAAACTGGTAAAATTGAACATTCTAACTTAATTTAAAAAATTCAATACTTTACAAACCAAGATAAGATTCTTCTATAGCATTACATGAAATAATTCTCTCCAATAAATAGGTGCTACTTAATGATAAAATGCTGGATGATTTTTCAATAATTGAAATCTAAAACATATAAGCAATTGTTATGTAGAATTATTTTGGAAGAACTAGATAATTTAGTAAAAATAAAGCAATAATAATTTATTACAAAGATAAAACAACAATCAGCACAAGACTAGGAAAAATGTACAACATAATGAATATAAAAACATATATTTACTAATTATTAATGATAACCAAAGAGAAAATAAAATTGAAACAAAGATTTCTAAATACACTAACCTAGCAATAACTAATGAGAAATGTATCATACCTATATGGGAAAAAAATGAGTTTAGTAAAATATAATAAGAAAGCAAACAAATGGAAAAACTTACTATGTTCCTAGATAGAAAGACTGCGTATGGTAAGAACATAATTTTCTCAAAATAACTTATAATTTAACATAATAGCAATCTAAATCTCATCCAAATTCAAATGTCCAATATTGTTTCCAAAGTATATGTAAAGGAACCAATAGGTAAAATTAGCTAAATTAACTTTTTTGAGAAAAGGAGGGGAGTAAATGATAGGCTTATTCTTACTCAATATTAAGACATAATATAAAGTTGAAGTAAAATATGTATGTAATTCTGGAATCAAAGAGATTTCGATAGTAGATGCTACTGTTAAATAATATATACAAATCAATAAGAAACACACTAAGACAAGTAGGCAATTAACACGAAGATTCAACTAGTTAACTATGGGAATATAATCAAACTTGCTAATGTTCAAAGATACACAAAATTTTAAAAAGAGAAACAATTTTCACCTATTATATTAGTGATTGGTTTTGAAAAAGCCATATACCCACACATGAAAAATAGGTACACTCTTCATTGTGTTAGAATAAAATCAAAGTTATTTGATAATAATTTGATAAGTCTATAGCTTTAGAAGTATTTATATTTTTGGATTAAGTATTACTGCCTTCCTAGACTCTGAAGAGAAGAATTAATTCAAAAACAAAAAAAGCTTTAAACCTTAAAATATTAATTATAGGCTGATTATAACATAGTAAAGAAATAATACACACCTCCACCAACAAAGGACTGGTATGCACAAAGAGGGGACATCTGTGGACACTATTGCATATGATCAGAGGATGTGTGCTGCACATCTCTAGGCTCTAGAAAAAACATCAAACCTTCCCAGATCCAATGACAGAAACTAAGACTGAGGCACAGATTAATCATCTGCGCTTTCTTGTTAGATAAGACTCAGTATCTCACATACTAAGCACTCAATGTTAAGAATTCTTGCCCTGTTACATCTGTTAATCCTTACATTAGCAGTATGAAGCAAGTATTATCTCCATTAAAAGCCTGTATGTCATAGACTTTCAGAAAGTCTGTGCCCTGAATAGCTGAAACTTTGAATACTAGGGATCACTATAAAGCAAATCTATATTATAAAAAGCCTAGGATAAAAAGCCAGTTTGGGGATTTCAATACACACTTTTATTAGTTTACATGTATTTCCTATATTTGATGAGAATGTAATTTTTTTTAAAGACATTGAGATATGGGAGTTGAAGAAATGCTACTCTGTTATGGATTACCTGTGATGGTGCAAAACCAGACATGTGAAAAGCTGAAAACACAAGCGGCACCTCAGCTTTCAGTAGCATTTCAATATAATGTGAGCTGCAAAAATATATTGGATGGATGCCAGATGCTACAGTGTCAACAGGTAGGTACTTCTGCATAAAAGAGAGAAATTCAGAATTAAATAATGAATATGCAGATTATTTAAAATAAACATATACTTTTCTAAACCTTTTTCTTTGGCTGTGAATTGCTGCTTCAAAATTAATGTGTTGGCATAATAAGTTATTACAAATATTATAATTATGTAAATTAATAAGTCAGAATGTTAAACACTGTAAAAAGAATAAATCTTGATAAAGGCAGTATTGTATACTTCCAAGACATACAAATAAAGTTAGTACTTCATAATTTTGGCAACTTAAATCCCAGTAGAATGATGAGGAAGGGTACTGAATGAAAGAATAAACAAACATATAAGTGTATGAGTAATAAATATTTTATACTTTAATACTAAGTGTATTTCAATATGCTTAATATTCTTGGCTTTGGCTGACAGTTCTATAATGTTAAAAGGTTTTAGCTTTGCCAGCTCTTGAAGATATTTGTCTAATCCCTTTTCTATGTTGATATTAATTCAAATCTAAACCTGAATTAATAATAACCCAAATTGGGAATGCTATGAGAAACCTACTTCTAAAACTAGGAAAAAACACATGATTCCAATCAAGGTTCTGAGGACAGTTATTTTGTATAAAATTTATTTTTGTTTTCATATTATTTTATACCCATATTTACCTATATTTATAAATATATACACACATATATTTACAAACACATTTTTCAGCAATTTCTTCATAAAGTTGGTTAGTTTTTCAATTTAGTTCTTAGATACAATTTATCATTGCAAATGATCAATAATGTATTATTCCTACTAGAAATCCAACATCTATCTACAATTTCTTTTAAAAAAAGATAATAAACTTGAAGATATAATTATATCTAGAAAAAACTTCACTAGCAATTATATCAATAAAAAATGATAATCAAATTAGATCTGAAGACTACATAATTAAGAGACTTAATTAAGAGACATTTTATTTTCTTACTTTTACTGGACAACTCTTATCTTTAAATTTTTTTGATGAAAATTAATACTTTTAAATGAAAATAAACTCATGTGAGTTAAAATATAGAATATTTATTTCTTTCAAACTTTTTTGCTAATGCTGACATGTTTTTATGGATTCAGGTTTGAGTTATATATTAAAGTTTCTGAAATCAGCAAGTTGATTTATCAGTGGTTTCCCTGTTTTATCATTTATCATAATAAATGATTTATTATTTCCCACTGAAGAAATATATATTTGTAGGAATATAGAGAGAATATGTATTTTTATGACAGGTTCTCTAGGAGATACCTCATAGTACATGAAAAAACATTAATTCTCTATATTAATGAATTAAGACATAGATAGCACATTAAATGGACATCTTGTAGTCAATTTTATATTTATGTCTATGACAAAAAGAAATTTTTCTGTTGAGTTGTTAAAAATAATAACATGTACTGAATGAAAATTAGTATCCGCTGGTTTATCTTTTGCTAATATGCAATGTTTCACTAATGACTGTTTGTAGAATCAATAATATAATAAAGATTTAAAAGCAAAATTCAATTCATACATATGTTTTAATTTTCCATGCAAACTTAGGTAATAATTTTCTAAAGACATGTATAATAGTAGTATGAGTTCTATGTATGGAAAATGATTCTTATATAGTATCTTTTCCATGTTGCATAGGAAATACCTTTACAGTAGGTCCAATAAGAGATAAATAGATTAATTACATTCTCAAAGAAAATAAGCCATTGTTATGCAATGTACTACCTACCATGAGGCAAGAGTTCTTCTACTCTTATAAATTATATTCTGTTGGAAGAAATTATGCCATAGTTTTTGGAAACCAACACAGCTCCTAACACCAAACTTTACATAGAGTAGCTGCCCAATATATTGACTGAATAACAAGATACTAATGACTGTAAAATGTAATCATGGGAAACTCATTTATAATAAAAATTTTATTAATTGTTCTATTAATTACCATATCATGGCTCTAATTTACAGTAAACAATGTTCGTAAAACTAGTGACAGTTCTGAGTCACATGAATATAACAAAGCATCTTCTGAATCATCAAATTATAAATTATTTACTATACTGTTTTGATGTATTTTATTTAGTCACAATTCTCTGAAATAATAGTAACTCTATTAATCATAATATAGGAGTAAGCAGAACACATGCAGGATAACAGCATTTAACATATCATCTAAGTAACACATGAACTAACATATATACTATACTAAAATAAAATTGCAAAAAAATCATCTGTAAAAATATGGGCTTGGGAGATACTAGAAAGGGGAATAACATGAAGGATTTCATAAAACAACACACTTTATTTTAGTGATTAAAAATTAAAAGTTATGCTTAAAAATAAAACATTTAAGTCTTAGTTTTTTTCTTTCAGGATAGGTAGTTCTGATGAGTCACTTTATTTCTGATACTAAGAAAAATCTAGTTCAATGATGTTATGGAATTAAGCAGAAAGACCCTCTTAAAATATTTAAAACTGTCCAATCAATTTAAACTGATCCAAACAGTCTTCTACCTTTGGGAATCCATGAGCAAAGGATGGGCTATGCTTTACTAGCAATGTCATAGTTAATTGTGCATCATGCATAGGGTGAACAGAAAATTTTGAAAATTTTTCAAAACTTTAATTCTATAATTCCAGAAAACATAAATCTTTCTCCTCTCAGGAAAACAACGGGAAAATAGAATGCTCAAATATGTATAAGACTTAAAGTCACATATAATACAGGGAAGAAGTTTTGACACTGGTCCTCTTTCCTACAAGTCATTGGTCACATGACTTACTTTTCCTGATGCCCTGCAAATGGGTTACAAGTGTGCCATGACATGCTAATGATTGTAAAATATAAATTTATATTTAAATTTCATTAGAATTTTTAACTTTGTAAACTTTCAGATGCAAGTAATTTTTTTTTTAATGAGGACTAGGAGAAGGCTCTGTAGTAGCTACTATTTATTGAAAATATTATAATATACGACCTTCCTATTGAACTATACTAGTTCATTTGAGTATTACTTTAGCCTGATTTATCATCAGTGGTGTTTTGTTTGTATGTAAATGTAAAATACTCCAGCAATTTAATTTGTTTTCTTTTTTCATATGTTTTTATTGACAGAGAAGGCGTGTATAATCGTCACTTTTATTAAAATTATTATTTGAGATTAGGTATTCTTACATAAAATAATTTCTTGCTTTTTAAAAATCTATCATGTTATTAGCAGTTTCAATATTAAATTTGGCTAAACTCTGGTTCTTGATGAAATTCCATAAAGAATGATTATTTTATCATTTAAAAATTTATTTTTTCTTAAAAACAATAATTGAAGATAATTTCATTAAATCAATACATTAAAAGACTCTTTTGGTCTAAATGATGTCAAAGGGTAAATTTTTCAAATTATTTTTATCTCATATCAGTACAGTCACAGTTTATAAAATTTTAAGAACTTCAAATTAATGTTTCATTCCTGTTTTGCTTATTCTAGGGCTTATTTTTTAAACCTTTTAAAGGTAATTTGTTTAAAACATTCTTATGAACACAGGGATTCTAACATCTTTAAACATATTTTGTAAATAATAAAAGCTTACTGTGCCTTACATATTTCTATTTAAATATTAATTCATACACTCAACACATACTTATTGAGTGATTACTATGGGCCATAGTTTGGGACACATCTGAGAACAAAACAGAAAACCCTATTCTTGCAGAAAACAAATATATAAATTAAATAATATATCAGGAATTGATATAGGGTATATAAAAACAGTTATAAAAAAAACCAGTAATGAGGTTGGGTCAAGTGGATTGGGGAAACAGGTTGATGCTTATTGAGGCCAATTATAATAACATGAGACTGAGCTAAGGAAGGTAGACAAGTTTTGCTATTAATAGCTAAAGCCAAAGTGTTTGTCACCACATTGCAAATTTGCTTATTTTATTAATTTGCATATAAACTATCAGTACACTGTTTGAGACAATAGAACAAATGAAACAGAAAAGGTACCACTTTTTATATGTTAAGACTATTATTCAATGCACTACCAAGTCAAGTAGCATAGAACAAATACCAATTCAAAAGATTAAATCAAAAACATTCATACAATGGAGCAGTGACTGTACAGATATTAGTAACAACACATAGCTAACAACTCCAGATAGAATTCCTGTAGAGGAATCCTAACAGAATGTTATTTGTTTTACAAAGAAGCACTAAACAAACTAATGGTAATAAAGCATTTAACTTGATCTATTTGTACTTGAAAAGAAAAAATGATCACGTGGGAGGTACTGCATAAGTCTTCACTGACAGTTTAGCTGCACCAATAGAAAGATGTCAAGGCTTTATATCAAGAGTTCATTCTGAAAACTGAGATTCCAGTAATATGTCACTCCATTCCATTCATAGATCTATATTCCATATTAAATGATGCTATCAAAAAAGTCAAATAAAATCTAAGCTGCTAGAGCCTGTCTGTTTTCAGTTTTATGGGAAGAAATGCTATCAGAACACAGGATTGCTGATGTTATAAAAAATGTATTATTAAAAAGTTTATAGGTTCAAAGTAGAAATACAACTTAATTATTGCTTAACATGATTCACTGGTAATGTTTAGACCATATCTTAATCTGAACACTAAAACAGAACTCTTAAGACAAGCAGAGTATATTATTTTAAAATATTTGACAGGAAAATATATGATTGGACTCAAAATCTGTACCTGTTATCAAGAGATTTTCAACATTCCATTTATAAATGGAAGAGTAGAAAATCTATAAGATTTTTATAATCTTCAAGTAAAATTTAAAGAAATGACATTGCTGAAATTCTGTTTAACAGCAGGAAAACAGTTCCATTGATTGGAGAAAAACCAGTACATACTTTTTTGCCATTTCTTTCCTTCAGTTCATGGGAGGAAAATTTCTCATTATGGTGAAGAGAAAAAATTGGAAAGTCTTTTTCAGTAATTGCATACAGCTATTTCAAGCTGTATAAATTTCAATTTATAAAATTGTAAAGTTCAGTATTTATTCTTGATGAATTATTTTCCTTGTCATAAATATACATTATAAAAAGCACTTAATAAATGTTTTCATCTAACACCACATAGATACCAGCCAGTACCCTTAACTTATCTTCCTTGAGTGTCATGTGATTTCACTATTAAAATATAACATGTCATGGAAAATGCTTGGGAAGTATTAGCATAGCTGATATAGTTGGTGGTTTTCTTCCCTATGAAATCTCACAAGAGTAGTAAAAATTTTTAAGATACATTACAATACCTTAATAAAAACTCCATAGATTTCTAAAATGTATATAAAATGAGTGGTTTTTTGTTCTACTGAAATATAGTTATTATTTCTACTTAATGGTTTTTCTTATACTATAATTTAACCAACAAGAAATTCTCATAAAGCAATAAAAAATATCTATTCAATAATCCTTTTCTCACATACAGAATTTAACTCATATAACTTACAAACAAGTTTAAAATTTAGTAATTTTAAGCTTCTCTTTCATTATCATGTTTCTATTTCACAAAAATGCTTCATGATCATTAATCTTTCAATCAGTTATTATTACATAAGACATTGAGTATTTGAGAAAATGTCAAATTTATATCTTCAAAGAGATTAAGTCAAAAAGCATTCAGTTAGAAAAACAAATATAAATTATTAGAGCCCTATACGAACAGAATAATATTCCAGTGAATTTAAATATGATGTTCCTTAAAATTTCAAACCCTCTTTTAAAAACAGACTAAAAAATCTTACAGAAATGTGTAGTCTTGGCAACCAAAGGAAAGCAGAGGTTAAAAGCCTGGAGAACTGCTGAAGAAATTGGATTGTTTTCTGTTTGTCTCCCAACATTATCATGAACAGAGAAGATACAAACCAGTCATGGCCAGCATAACTCCCTTGCAGGCAGACTGAAAAACACAGTTAAGGAAATCTTACAATATTATATTCATTTCCATTGTCTCTATCAGGAAAGAGACACTAATTACACTTAGTCCTCATTGAGCTTTCAACCACATAGAAGCTACTGAAGTAAAATTAATCTTTATTAATGAAAAATGAATCACTTACATAATTACTATTTTAATGTACTCTTTGCTTACATGTCCAGTAGAGGTCAATGGCAATAGCAACTGAAGAGCAGTTACCTGCTTTGTGAAAACATATGTGTTCAAGTCATCAACAAAATCGTACCATCGTTTCTGTATTTGAGGTTATCTGCTAAAGGACTAACATAATCAAGCATGATAAAGTCTACACATTTTTAGAATCCAGTAATGCAAATGCTTTGTATACATATTTTTCTTCAAGTCAAACCTCATTTCTGAAAGATAACCAATTCAAATGAAACAATAAACAGATATGGTAAACAAAAAGTAACGGCCTTATTCTGAATTTGCGAAACCTGTTATGTTTGAAAATACATTCTAATAACTTTATTCAGTTTAAGATTTAATGAATAAGACTGAATCTAATGATTAAAACTCAATAAAATGCACATTTAAAAATATAGAAAATACAGTAAGAATATACTGTAACAAATCACTAACATAGCTTATTTTACTATAAATGTGTCAAGGTATCTCACCAAAGATTTATGAAAAATACATGAAGAAAGTTCAACTATTATGAATCTACTAAAAAAGGATATGAAGAGAAGATTTTATAGAACCTTGCTGTTGTCTCAGGAATCTTTCACAGTGCTTTAAAACCAAGGTAAGATCATTTTCTGCACCATCTTTGAACAAGTTGAGGAACTTGCCATACCTATGTTAAAAGCCCACAAAACATATAAAACAAAAAATATCAGGCTTTGCAGTGCATATTCATATTTTGAAATCCGTCAAAGTGTATTCTTCTTGAGATCTCAATGTTTTAAAATGTTTTAAAATTTCTACTTTTAGCATAACTATTTTAAATAGAGCACTCAGGAAAGATTAATTATATATGCTCTTGATGGTTATGATATATTTGGATTAGCAGTATTCATCTGGTAAATACTGGTAACTTTAAAGGAAGAGAAACAGTATTGAGAAAACAAAATGATGATACCCTGTAGATGAGTAGAATATAAGCATTTTTTTTTCTGAATTTAATCTAAAACATGTAATATCAACAGATTAGTTTTATAGAATGTTAAGTACAAAAGTAACTTTAGAGTTCATCCAGTCTAATGTTCCTAAATTAAGGGGTCACTTTGGAAATTTATGGGACCATTTTTGATTGTCATAGTGACTGGGGCACTACTGGTCCTCAGTGAGCAAGGGTCAGGTGGTTAGACATGGGACAATCCTGTACAGTGACAGCTTGTGAATATTCTATTTGTTACTTATATGGATGTAAAAGTTGTTTAGCATGATCTGAAACTAATTGTTTCATATAAATTTCTATATTTTTTAAAAAATAAAATAAACATACATTAAATGCACCTATGAGTAAGACAAGGAAGGATAGTACTTTTGTTTTGTTCAACACCTTACTAATAGTTGTTCACCATTTTGGAAAGCCTCTTTGCCAGTAGCAATATGGCTTGTGGTATTTGAGACACCAACATAAAATCAGTCTGTATTTGTAGCTGCCATAGTCACAATTATTTTACATATGGATGGCAGCTATCTATTAGACTGTAGTCAAACATTTTGTTATAAATCACTTTCCATTTATTTTTTACAAATATTATATACAGCTGAAAATATGTGATTAGCCTGCTTATATTATCTATAGATTCCATTTCAGAACAGAAATGGAAAACGTTATAAAATGTTTTTATAAAAAGCAGGTATAGGGTAACAAAACATAGTCAAGAGAGTTATGAGATATAGTTGTGCAAGCTAGAATTAATATCATTTTCATCATGCTTTAATTTATAAAAATGCTCAGCCTATTTAAAAGCTCTCACAAAAGTCTTTTTTATACTTTATTCTGAAAATGACCCTATAAGAAAAACGACATTGTCAAGATCCCCTTTAATACGAAGGGGAGGTTTCTAAGAGTCAGTCCTTAACTTCTCCTCCACTGTTTAGCTTGCCCATTTCTTCTCAAAAACCACAATTTGAGTATTAAAAATTCAAACTACAATAATTGGGATTTATCCATTTTAACTTCTGTATCAATCCTTAAGGTACTTTTGTACTCATCACCACAGAATTAATCATATTTCAGAAAAGAGTATGATTGTGCCACCAATGTGCTGAGTTTTACAGTATTATTCTTGGAAAAAACATGATAGTCATAGTGGCTTAAACACACTGTAATTAGCCTCTGGAATAATAATGAACTGTAACCAATTTACTTGCAGAGGTAATTTAGCATGTGCCAATAGACTCAAAAACAAGGTTATTATTTTATGAATGATAAATCCTGCATTTAAAGTATACAAAATGGTTGTTAAGTTAAATATTATTAAGCACATAGACATATAAAACAAATTCTAGAAATGCACAAGGGAGATATTTCCCTATACTATACCTGACAGTCATTTTAATGCCAAGCTGTTGCACAGATGAAAGACTTTCATTCCTCACATTTGCATCGGTAGCTAAAAACAATAAAAAACTGAGTTATAAAAGTGTATGAAAGTCTGCATAATAATCATTTTTAATTGAAAATTGATGAAAGCAATATTTTTACATATTTTAATGTGAATTTTGAAAACACTGATGAGTTCATTTTGTTAAGAGCTGTCAGTTGTATTTTCAAAGGAATTAACAGGAAACTTTTACAAATAACTTTTCTCTCATAAAAAGCACTTAAAAGCATATTAAATACAAAACAACTAATAGTTTTAAAACAAATTATTTTACTCAGCTCTCAGAACAAAAAAGCTGTTAACCCAAAAAATGATTGATTAATAGAAATACTGTTCTTTCATCATGCAATGCATATATAAGATGTTGAATTACAAATATATAGAAGCATGGTTTTTTCTTTCCTGGAATTCATGTTTAAATCTTTAATCAGTGTTCTACTTTTAATGTATGACAATAGATGAGGGTGGAGTGAATGAATTTTTTCTTCCAGGCCAAGTTTTCTTTGTGAAGTTGTTGTGATCATCTACCAAAAGGGGAAAAGGGGCTTATGGTACAGAGGACTACCGAAGAAGTTGAACGTTTGGGCTAGTTCTTGTGGACATTCAATGACCAAACTAACAATGAACACTCAAAAGCACCAGAAGACAGCATTCAGGGTCTAGCTGAAACTTTTATTTTGCTAAGAAACTGCAGTGTGCAATACATACACATGCATGTATACACCATACACACACACACACACATACACACACACACACACACACAGTAAACGGAATCATCACATAGTTATTTAGTGGTAGGGAAGATCAAAACCTAGCTTTTTAGTTTAATGAAATTTTATTTATTTTGTTGTTGCTGTAATCGCCATTGGGGTTAGTCATAAGTTCTTCGCCTAGGCTGGTATCTATAAGTGTTTTTCCTACATCCTCTTCTAGAATTATGGTTTCATGCTTTACATTAAGTTTTCTATCCAGGTTGTGTAATTTTTGTGAGTGGTAAGAGACAGGGGTCCTGTTTCATTTTTCTGCCTTGTGGCTATCCATTTTCTCAGCACCATTTATTGATAGAGCTTCTTCCCCCGTGTGCGCTGTTGTCTGCTTTGTTAAATGTCAGTTGGGGCAGGTAGTTAAATGGTTTAATATCCAGGTCTTTGTTTTGTTTATGTCTCTATTTTTGTACCAATACCATGCTGTTGGTTACTATATCCTTGTAGTATAGTTTGAAGTCTGGTAATGTGATGCCTCCATATTTGTTCTTTTTGCTTAAGGTTGCTTTGGCTATTCAGGCTCTTTTCTGGTTCCAAATGAAGCATAGAATTGTATTTTCTAGATCTGTGAAGTATGACATTGGTATTTTGGGGATTGTGAAAACATTCCCTAAGAACTGGAACAAGACAAGAATGCCTACTGTTACCACTTCTATTCAGTATAGTGCTGGAAGTCCTACCCAGAGCAATCAAGTAAGAGAAAGAAATAAAGGGTATCCAACTTGGGAAGAGGAGGCAACCTCTCACTTTTCATTGATGATATGATTTGGTCTCTAGTAAACCCAAGTACTCTACCAAGAGAGTCCTGGAATTGATAAATAAATTCAGCAAAGTCTCAAGTTACAAAATCAATGTACATAAATTAGCAGCATTTCTATACAACAATAACAGGTTGAGAGTCAAATCAAGACTCAACACCATTCACAATGCTACAAAAAAAATATCTAAGAAATACTTAATCAAAGAGGTGAAAGATCTCTACAGGGAGAACTGCAAAACACTGAGGAAAGAAATTGCAGAGGACACAAAGAATCATATCATGCTCATGGTGTGTTTCATGGTTTTAGCACTGAAAGTCCCATGCCCCAGGAACACCTTACAGTCCCAGGGAAAACAGACTGGTTGATCACCTGACCTAAGTGGTGGTAATTTTCTTAAAGAAAATAAAATAAAATAGCTTAAAAGCTTAATCTTTTATACACTTTTAAACTTTTAAATGTGCTTGGTTAATTCCTTGATAAGCCTCATCTGAGATGTATTTAGTTTGGAGTGCAATCTTAGCAATATTATTACATTTTGCCTTTAATGACAGCAATTGGTTAGAATCTACATAGCTTAGAATTCCCTTTTATTTATCATTCTTACTGTGTATAGATATACCTTTTAACCTAGGGGAGAAAGATATCAGTTTTGTACCTCTCCTATTAAAAGACCCCTATCCTGCAGCAATGGGTTAAGGCCAGGGGGGCTATTCAATTTCTTCCCTAAATTTTTTAAATGGGGGTGGTGATGGAATTTTTCTATGAATCAAGGGGCTATGAAGTACCCTAAGTCTCCATATAAAGCAATGAATCTATCATAATATGGGGAGATAGAGAAAAGACACAGATTGCTAAGGACAGATTTACTTCCATTTCTGTAAGTCAATAATTCTGTCTCTTTTTCTGCACAGATAAAATGTGCTTTGGGTTTCCATCACTTGCTACTAAAAACATACCAATATTCTCACATAATTATGGCCTATTTAAAACTATCATAATTCATATATTAACCATAATTTCAAGTTTTCAATCTTATCAGAAGCATTTTTTTTTATTTAGCTGTAAGTCAAACACAGTTTTATAAATACCCACTACACTATAATCAGGTTAAATTCATGTGGGCAGTGATCAAGAAGCTTTTTTGTTTCAGTATCTGAATCTTCTCCTGGTGATCCTAATATCTTTTGCTGAATTATATTATAGTTTTCCAAGTTTGAATAAAGTTTGAGGGCTATAATGTTGGTGATATTGGCTCACTTTGCAAAATTTAAATAGTTTAAAAATAAGCATATTTTTTAATATATTCCTAAAGCCATAGAAAAGATCTCCTATCAACTATCATAATGTAATATACTGACAATGTGATTTTCATAAACTATTGCCAGAACAATTTCAAGTTAGATAACACTTAGAATTCTATCTATATATAAAGTTGGAATATTAAGCATGAGAAATAAGATATTACCTTCATTCATATGTAGATCTGTATGCTTACAGTAATACTAATGTTTTCCTTCTGCAAAGTGTACTACAGACTGCTATCTTAACCACAGAGGAGTAGTGTGCAGTGGGTGGAGAAGGGTGCTAAGAATGGGCATTCCCAATGTCATGTGTTCCATGGGTCACAGTGGCATCCATCAGGAAACACTGACCAACACATCAGTGAAGAACAAAATAAAGTCAGAGAGCAGAATAAGAGGAGTAGCCCAAAGAGACTGAATTTTAGATGAGGATCAGGTTCATTTAGTTCTTCCCTGTGCAAGAAAGAAGTTCTTACCAAGTCGTCTAATTGTAGGCCTGAGAGGAGTCCTTTAACCTTTCTGGAGTTGTAAGAATAATTTCCAAGGTCTAGCCCCTTTCTTAAAGTATATGACTCTTTATCTTTAAAGTTAAAGAACTTGGTCTGCACATTTCAACAGATAATGGTTCCCAACTATGGTTGTGCATCAAATCCTCTGAAGAGCTTTTTAAAAGTAAAGATAAATAGACTTTACTCCAGACTACTGAATGAGATTGCTCAGGATCAATATCAATGTCATTTGTATTTTTCCCCAGCTTATTTTTTGTACACTAAAGTTGAGATCCACACTTAAAGAAATAAAAGTGAAATTTAGATATAGTTATCATTGGACAATTATACCCCACTATACAAATTTCACTTCAATGATGGTTTTAGTATAATTCTCAAAAAGGCTTTCAAATGAGGATATATGGAGGTATTGAGCATGCAAAAACAAACATCAAATATCCATTTTAAAAAGTCATTGCTGTGACATAGGTAGGTGTACATGACTTTAGTATGAACAAAATCCTGCAGGAATAAAATTAGAAGAAATGAAAACTTTTCTAAAGCAGGAATGAAGAAATCAGAAAATGGTTTAGGGGCATATATTGAGGGAAATGCTTCAATTTTAAACTTTTATTTAATATATAGTATGACAACTTGGCAAGCAGATATGGATCTTAGATTACAAAAATTCAGTGAAAAAATTTTTATTATATCCGATTCTGGACTAACTGCAAGTTATGAAGCAAATATTAACATCTTCAGAAATAAAAAAAAATTAAGGGGACAATATGAATAAGTAATATTCAATAACAAATGGATGTCTTCAGAGGATTCTGATGCATATCCATGGCTGGTTACTATTAATAGTAATTTAGTGATAATATGCCATAATAGTGTGTGAGCTATATAATAGATGCTTAATGAACACTGAGTGAATAAATGAATAGATAAATGAACAAACATCAATGAAAAGCAATAAAAGAAACTGTGCTTTAAATATCAAACTAGAAGCAAGACAGAGAGAGAAACAGATATGGACATAAAAGTATTTTCTGTACATTGAAATCAAATAATACATAGGAGATATAACTCTTCTCCTTGAAGTCACTGTGAAAAACATAATGAAATAAATTGTTGAAAAAGTCAAATGATACCTATAGCATCATACTTAGCCCACTTAACAATGTTTAATTCAATCTAAGATAGCACTAATATGAAATTATATCTGAAAAACCTAATAATTTTAATTATAAATATAATATTCTCAGAATAAAATGAGTTGACAAAATTTACTTAACATGGACTGAAATCACTCACTCTGGTAAATACATTCTGTACTACTTTTGGTTTGTAAAGATATCACAATAAAGCAGCGGTAGAAGAAATTAAATCTATTCTGCCTGGCACTTGGCTAATAGTGTAGAAAAAAAAATTTTTTTCAGAAGAGTAGAGAATTTCTCCAATCTAGGGCAAATCCATGGTTGGAGAAGCAATTGCTGCTTGGCTGCTTATTGACTTTCCTGAAGCCCTGCCTGCCTGCTGTAAGGTCAGAGAACTCTTACCACCCAAAGAAATCAATGGATGGTACATTTCCTCTTCCCTCCTTCTTTCCTACCCCAAAGTAAATCTGTAGGCTCTGTTGCTTTTTAAATATGTGGTTGTACCCCTGTTCTTCATTCAGTTCTTACTGCC